ATATATATATATTTAAAAATGGTTATACATTAACTTGGGGGCCCCTGACAGGCTGAGAGGCCATAGATATATTGAACAAATAATTGTATAGATTTTTCTTGAAAATCCTAAAATGATGGCAGATATAACAGCTTATTATTCACAAATTGCTGGCTGGTTCCATCCCTCCTGCTAGAATTTTTCATCAAAATGGAAGTTGGCAAAGTGTGCTGTACTCTTTGGAAGTAATGAAAAAAGATGTCAAAACTTGTTAAGGTCAGTGAGCAAAACATTATGGACTGCATAGTATTGTGAAATTATTAATTTTAAAAATTATATATGAATAAAAGCATCTGGTGAATGAATAAGAATAATTTCTTTCACTTGGCTAATTTAAATGCCAGCTGTCTCTGTCCTCAACTATATTTTTTCACAAAAGGTTTTACAGAGTCAGCCTGCTTATGAAAATGCAGAAGTTATGGGGACTGTAAGGCTAAGCATACAATGATTTCAGCTTATATTCATAAGTATAGATCAACTGTTTCAGAAAATAAATATTAAAACTTTGCAAAATGTCTGATGGATTAAGTATCATGTTGGAAAACACATGAGATTAGAAAAATAAAAGTGTTCCAAACCAGAATAAATAAGTCTGTTTCCTTTCAAAAGTCTTGAGTTCATTCTGAGAAACGTCGTACCCTAGTTTGGATGTTGTCTCAGTTTCTTTTATTCATCCTCTTTAATATCAACCATCATGTGATTTTTGTTATGATTATACTTAGGTATAATTTATTTTTCATTTTGCTGCATTCTGTTGCCATTCTTATATTAACAGAATGACGTTTGCTATTCATGTGTAACTGAACCCATAATCCCTCTAGTAGTAATAGGATAAGAAAGCATTTAGGAGGGAATAGATCAGGTGAAAAGTTGCTAGGTCATATCCATCAACCAGTACCTAAGGAATTGAACAGCTGATGCTAAACTTTCCACAGAATGTCTTCTCATTGCTATCTTGATTTGGTCACCAAGAAGCAGTGTGAGACACAATACAATGTAGTTTATCAATGGTCATTTTGATCCAGGTACAATTCTGTACTCAGCATGTGTGAATGCACATACATTTGTTGGCTGCAAATACTTTTAATTGGACCAGTTCATGGGCCAAGCAAAAGGGGTCTCATGAACTGCAGGCTACAATAGTGAATCATGAAGATGAAGGAAGAGGTACAGGAAAGCAGAATAGAAGCAGATGACATGGGGGGAGAGAAAGGGTTGGGTAGGAAGTCATTTTAATAGGAGCAAGTAGAATGAGGATTAAGAAAGGGGATTGGCTTCTATATTCTTGACAGGCATAAGGGATAGAGACTCCCATGCTTTGTTCTACAAACATGGAGACCCCTTCTAGGACAATTCTACAGCAAATGTCTTTGGAAATACAGATTTTGATGCAAAAAAATGCATTGCTACCTGGTTGCACATGGATACTCCTGATTTTACAGTACAAAGGTAGGCATAGAAACTTAAGAGAGAGAGCTGGTAAACTGATGGTGAGCCACAGGAAAATCATGACAGAAAAATCTCAAAGAAGGAATATTGCTGGCCCATGAGAGTTTCACATAATGAGGAACTAGACAGGTCTCCCTATTTTGAAGGACCCCGTATGAGAACTGGTTTGAGTAAATAAAGACAACCACTTTGGAACTTATCTGGATTTACTGTTGTCTTATGTGGTTCATGGAGGCGGGAAGGTCTGATGTTCTCCTTCCAGCAGACCATCCTGATAGAAACATAATTATTTAGAAGTCTTTCCCCCATTTTTATCTATTTTTTACAAAGTGCAATCCCAAAGATATCCTGGTCTACTGTAATATTGTATATGAGAAGCAGGTTCTTCATAATTTACTGATTATTTTTTATATTAAAAATATGAAGGAAAACACACAGAACAGAAAAGTTAGCCTTCCTATTTACTGTTATGCTGCACCTTAATGTATTGAAGTATTCTGAAGAGGTATTTGATTGTATTTATATAAGCACTGTCTGTGAGACAAAATGTGAGGACATTTCAACTTTTTACATGAAAAACACATTTGCTGATTTTATATGAGAGAGAAAGGTTAATTTGATTCCAGGTTGTAAAGCAGGCTAAGTGTGAGCCTTAAATGTTCTGAAGATTATCCCTAAATAATTCTTCCAATGAAACCACTCACTTGTAATTCAAGCAGACAATATGGAAGAGATGGTGAGACAATGTCTACGAGTAGTCTTGAAGATTTAAAACTCCTGAGGCAAGCTTTAATACCCCCATATTTTTTGAAGCTTACGTTTTGTTTCAGAATTGTATGGATGTTGGGTTATCTACCTAAATCAGGGCTTCTCAAACTTTTGTCACGGTGAACTCCTGTAACCTAGAAATTGTGTTTTAACTTCTCAAAATGTTACAGCTCCTGTTCCAGTGTCAGATCAATCTTTCACTGGGGAGGAAGATGAAAGTCTTTTAACTTTTTGTCACTCAAGAGAGAAATTATTATTAGTCCACAGGTGAAGGAAAACAGCACCAGCTTTCTCTCCATCCTGGAGGAACATAACAGAAGTGATTCAGAAGTGATTCTATCAACAAATTTATATGCAACTATAATCCTGTAAACCACTTTTACCAGAGCCAGAGTGGTGTAGTGGTTTGAGCATTGGATTATCACTCAGGAGAACAAGATTCAAATCCTTGCTCAGCCAAGATAACTTGGGCAAATCACACTCTCTCAACCTCAGAAGAAGGCAAAGGCAACCTCCCTTGAATAAATCTTGTCAAGAAAACCTTATGGTAGTTATGTGTTAGATTTGGCATAAGTTGGCAATGACATGAAAACCTTATGGTAGTTATGTGTTAGATTTGGCATAAGTTGGCAATGACATGAAGGCAAAGAACAACAACATTTGAACATCTAAGTGTTGTGCATAAATTATTCTGAGGAGGAAAACATGTGCTTTCTATGCAAACAAGTGTTTTGTTCCCTACCTTCTACTCATTTTCTCATTTCACCTCCTGCTCTTGCAATGTATCTTGCCCGTTTGTCTTGAACTCTGCTGTCCACACTCATTGCAAAACAATTTGAGAGAAGATTACCTACTTGCTACATATTCCAGTTCTTTCAATGGCTAAAGACTTCTTTTAAAAAATGAAAGCTCATGATTGTGATATAATGGTCAAAATGTGCCCCACTTAGCATGCTTAGAATCCATATTAAAGCTGGCTAACCAGGTACAATGACAACTCTAAGTGCTGCTGCTTGTCTACATTCACAAACTAATGAAATTCAGTTATATTAATGGCCTATTAGATGTAAAGTTTAATAGTTAATCTTCCTCTTCAGAGTAAGTATATAATGCACTGCTATATGCTGGGTACAAATAACAGTAAGGAGAACATCTGTCGGGGATGGCCATCTATCCGGGATGCTTTGATTGGAAGTTCCTGCATGGTAGGGGGTTGGACAGGATGGCCCTTGTGGTCACTTCCAACTCTATGATTCTATGATTCTATGATTCTAACAGCTGGAGAACAGCTGGACTAGACTGCATTCATCTATCAGAATCTTGGAAACCTGAACCTTGTGCCAATGTATTTGTCAATGAATTATTTGGGAAGCAAAGAGTAGTTTCAGTACATGGATATTGCTGCATTCATGTTTGTATTCATGTTTGCTTGGCTTTATCTTTCTCTTCTAAGGACAGACTTAAATTGCATTACATTACAGCCATCATTGGTTGTTTATACAGAAACAAGTATGGGGTACACAATCATTTGTATCATCATTGTCATCTCCTCTTCCTCCTCCTCTTCACAGTTTGGGACTCAAGGATGTTTACAAGAGTTAAAACAAACCTAGTTTGATCAGATCAATTCTGAATACACCCTGGAGGCCAAGGTGATGAAACTGAGGATGTTGTACTTTGGCCACACCATGAAAAGGCATGACTCATTGGAAAAGATAATAATGCTAGGGAATGTAGAATATAGTAGAAAGAGAGGAAGACCATGCACTAGATGGCTAGACTCAATCAGGGAGGTCATGGGCCTGAATCTACAGAACCTAAGCAAAGCAGTAGAGGACAGGACATCTTGGAGATGTCTCATCCACAGGGCCACCATGAGTCAGGGCAACTTGAGGGCAGTTAATACACACATACATACATGTCCATTATACTTCATATGCTAATATCCAAATTGCAGCATGCATGCTTTGGGCTTCTCTAAGGTTACATAATTTATTTTTAAATACAGTTTTTGATGTAAAGTGTTTTTTACAATGCAACAGCAAAACACAAAGGACCTAAGGAATTCTGAATATACTAGGAATTCTTGTCCTGGATTCTTCTTAGCCATTGTGGTGGCTCAGTTCATTGGAAAATGTGCCAGGTGCACACTCACCCTAAGCATGTTCCTGCTCCATTTATTTTCCCTTCACTAAATACTCTGGCCAGAAAGGTATTCTGGCACAACAGTGAAAAATGAGTCATTGTTACTCTGTGCTACCTAGAAAGAAAATGTCTGTGTAGCTGTGCACTTTTCATTCCCTCACATAACCAAAGGCTAGCTAGGCAACTTTTAAAATTTCCTTTAAAATATCTCTTCTGCTGAGGAGCCTCTTTTTTAATTCATTGGGGGAAAATTACCAGTTTTGTGGCTACTGTCCCACAGAAGTCACATGAAAAACTAATACCCTACCTTGTTCTCTTTATACCCTCCTGATTAAGGTAAACTAATTCATTATTGCAGGGGAAAGCAGATTTGTTTTACCTGACTATACTGGAGTGTATATTATTCCAAAAGGAGCAGAGCCACTCATACAAGTAATAAACAGATTTCACACTTCCCAATAAATTGGGGAAATCATGTTGAAGCAAAAGGGGCATAATTCACCCTGACAACTGAGACAAGTAATATAGTGTGTGCACTTATTGACAAACTGGATTTTTTTTTTATCCAAACAAAAAGTAGTTTCCATGACAACTGCCACCCTATGTAATCTCAGTGCCAAAGAAAAGTAGGGAACTTGTTTTATAAAGAAGGAACTATTCAGATACGTGTGCTCAGTTTCAGGGGGCTTGGGGGGGAATTAATCAACTTAGCAAAGAATTGTTTATTATGTGAATGACTCAAACCATAAAGGGCTGTATGAGAATGTGCATTTTATATTCCAGCTGTGTTCTTCTACAAATACTCTCTTTAAGGCTTGTACTGTCTCCAATACAACTTTTTAAAAATATTTTTGAGCATTTTTCACACTTACAAATAAAACAAAAGTAAACCTTCCCTTGTCCCACAATCTCAACAGTGGCATTTAAAGCAATGTATACAGTTCATGTTGTTATTGCATAACTTGTCAATTATAACAGTTTTAAGACAAAGGAGAAGGTTGACAAGAAATATGTTATGATTGTGTTACAATCTATTTTGCCAGAACCTCAGGTGGTGTTCTCCAAGTCTTTGTAATGAATTCAAATCCAAAGTGAATAAAATGAAAGGAAACCAAATAGTTTTGAAGTTATCATCTTTTATCTCACTTCTTGCCAATGTAGAATTATGATAGTTTTTCAGCAAATATGATAAGTCACACTTATTTAAGCCTATGACAAAGGAGATTATCACACCAACTTTTATTCCCACTTTAGGCACAGGATATAAACACACAGGGATGGATTCTATTGCACAGCTCCATCCCTAGGCAGTACTCATCCTATATCTGACCTGACCTGGGCTTCTCCCAGACCTTTTAAAGAATGGGAAAATCCCGTTCTTTAAAAGCTCTGGAAGCATTCAGGATTGGTATGGGATGAGTACTGCCCAGGGACGGGGCTATGCAATAAAATCTGTCCCTATGCAATAAAATCTGTCCACCTAGCGCAGGAATAAAAGCCAGTGTGATAATCTCCAAAGTGAGAAAACATCAAGATTTTTTCCAAGACTGAGCAATCATCAATCTGGCAACATTTAATAATACTGAAATTAGAAATATGTGGGATAAAGTTTCACATTTTCTTTATCAAATATTAAGAATAATAAGAGTATTATTGGAATGTATGGTCTGATTCCTCATACATCAGTCCAGAACTTCATCCTAAAACTTTTGAGCAGTTGGATATGACAACTAAGTATTCAAGAGAGCCAGCCCCTTGATGGAAGCTTGTGGACTGCTAGAGAAATGGGTTAACTGAAATGTCTTTTATTCATACAGCAATACTAAAATAAGAGACATTAAGATGATATCAAAATAGGAATACCGTATTTTCTGGCATATAAGATGACTGGGCATATAAGATATATACAGTTTGGGATATACTCGCCGTACAAGACTACCCCTCTTCCAATACACACCAAATAAAAATTAAAAAACAACAACATCAGATTTGATTTCAATATGGAAATTTTAATTCAAATGCTTATGACATGAAAGTACTTAGCAGGAAAACTGTCACTTATAAACGCAACAAACTACAGTTGTCATGTTCCCTAGCATTTATTTCTGCAATGTGTTTTGGACCTTACTTTT